TCAGACACCTACCAAACATGTGACTTGCATAAGACTGTTTGGTTGGAGGCATTTAAGGGAGTTTAAACAAATGTCATTTTATTTGACTTCAAGCGATTAGGAACAAGGGTTCTATAGCCAACACCAATGTATGTCATCTACCTTCCACCTGCGATTATGAATTAGGGTTCGAGTCTTGAGTGGATTAATGCAAAATATCTTTGTTATTGCAAGAAGGGGGTGCTTTTTTGATCCAAACAAAGTGTACCGTAAGTATTTTGGATGTCAATTATTTATTGAGTACACAATTTTTATCTTTTTTTTGGGAACCTATTCACGAAAACCTGTTTGACTGTTCTTTACAAAAGTTAGATGTTTGTATATTTAGAAGAATGTGCAATAGTTTGAGTGTTGATATTTTCGCCTAGAAGGTTTTGTCTCCTTGCAACCACTTGTTTAGTTTTCTTAAGAGGCTGCAAGCATGTGCAATGGGCAAGGTGCTGGGTTTGGGACTTTGAATTCTAGTACAATTTTTTTCCCAGAAATATGCATTATTTTACACAAATTCTTTTATGCTGGGTATTGGACTAAGGGTGTAAATTTTATTCATTAACATAAATTCGATACGACACAAAACTTGAAAATAATATTGACAGGCTCAGTCCAAACTACGTTAGTCCAAAATTACAAATTAGACCCAGTTCAGAGGCCCCGTTTAGAAATACATACCAGACCCAGGTCACATGTGTAGCCCCGGCCTAGATCAAGCCCATCATCTTGGAAAACTCAATCTATTAGTGACACATGTGAGATCTTCATCTTAAAAAGGAAATCAGGATACGCATCGTAAATTTCAACCACCTCGTCCGTTACCCCAGCGTCACAAAGCCACTCACTCCTATCACAAAGGTGACGTCTCAATTACGGCTCTCCGCGTCAAAGTTGTAAACCTCATCTACACCTCCCAAGTAATAAGATTATCTAGTTACCGTCGTCATTCTCAATGAAATAGGTCACCCAAAGCGAACTACCAAATCTTTATGTTAGTTTGTGTTGAGTCATCTTTACTTCATCCTTAATTGATTTTGCATACACTCACTTTTTTGTATCATCAAATACGATTAGTTGACACGAGTAATACATTATTCAAATTAAGGTTCAATACAAATAACATGATTAACAGATAATATAAATAGAAAGTCAAATTAATGTCCAACAGTCATGTGCAAGTCATAGTTTTGTAGCTGCCTTACTTAACCGCTTATTTTAATAGAAAGTGTTGATTAAAACAAATTAAATAGTTAAGGGCTCAAATTAAAAAAATTTAAAGTTTAGGGGATAATTTAAAATGAAATCCATCGTTCTGGGACTATTTATGTGATTTACCCTTGATTTTAAGCACAAAGGTCGGCCACTTCTTTATTTTTTAATTCATGGGTTGATCAAGTGGCATCGTGTTATCCCTCCTTAATAGGACAAGTGAATATTCATTACATCGACAGTATCACGTGAGTACCGAGACATATTATCACCACAATAATAAATCAAGGACAATGGCAAATTGAATCCCACGTAATGATAAACCAAGGACATTGTCCTACTGAATCCACTACCCTCCGTTTCTCCCAATAGTATAAACATGTAAATTAAGGAAAATGTGAGATAAACTGTACTATTTTCGTCTTGAAACTGTGATTAGATCATGGAACTTTTTAGATTACATTAAATACTCTAAAGTGGGTTCAATTCAATCTTTCCTACCTCTTCCAATTTTTTATGTTTGCTAGGAGTAGAAGCTAAACTAATTTCATAAAACACCCTCATAATCTTTTCGGACACTTGCAATTCAATAGAATTTCATCACCTAACTCGAAACATCCTCAGATCTCTTGAATAACTTAACTAATCTTTCTGAATGCTAAATTATCGAAATAAAACTTTGTAAGATATATATGGCCCCATGGAATTGGCAATCCTTTCGTGTTAAATTCTTCAACAATTTGGTTACTAGTTTTTGTTTGATAACATAGATTGTTGTTCTAAAATCTGTTGTGATCGATAAAAATGCATTAATCGACAGACAATTTTTAGACAATTGCTTGTTGATGGATTTTACTACTTTGTTTTAAAACTTCTTTAGATGAAATTCGATAACCAAACACACGAAATGCTGAACTAGCAAATGAATATGTCTTTATTAATTCCATCGAGTGGGTTTCATTAACAAAGTAACTGATTTAACAACATTTGGTTACAATACTAACTGCTTTCTAAAAACGAACTCTAATGCTACTCCTAAATATCCTGATCGTTGCTCTTGTGGGGGTTTGAGTTATTTTTTCTTAACTCTTTTTTTTCCTCTTTTTATAATAACTTCATTCAACGGTTTCATTTTTATTGACAGTTAGTTGGCTTTACAACTCAGATAATTATTTCATCTTTCAAACCAGAGTTGTAGCAAGTTGCTTTACGCCTCTTCTTCAAATCTTGACACGTGACAATCTTTTAATAATTTTAAACTTGCTAACAACACATGTATCAAATGCTTTCATAATTTTGCATTGTATGTACAAACATAAATAAAAAATTTCGTTCTTTTAAAGGCAACCCTAGTACTCCACCCTGATAATTGAACAGGTCAACTAAAGTTTATGAGTAAAATTTTTTTAATCGAGATACGCGTAAACTAGTTCGTGTTAGAGAAAATATATATATAATTAGATTATATTAAATTATATAAAGTTTAATTTATATTACAATAATCTAAATAGAATGTATAGAAATTAAAAACCAGTGCACTCACAGGGACACAGATCAGCACGAACAATAAATAAGAAAAAAAATCAGAACTTCAATCCTAGCATTGTGAAACACAATCTCCTTAAGAATGATTTGCTCCCTCTTAGTGCTCAAGGTCGATGAACAACTGTCTCCCAAGATAGAACGAATTTTACCTTCTTAAAGAAGGAGCACTTCAATCTTCAAGATTTCAGTAAACACAACTTATATTTATACTTGAACTAAATCAAAAGAATAATGCAACAATATATATATATATATATATATATATATATATATATATATATATATATATATATATATATATATATATATATATATATATATATAGAGAGAGAGAGAGAGAGAGAGAAGAAATTTTGAAACTATAATTCAAAACGGGATGGAATGAAATGACAAAAGGGTAGTCTATTTATAGACCCTTAATGGTTGTTCAGATTATTTGAAAAGGCATATGTTGTTACTATTCAAATTGAAGAGACACTATTTAATCTGAAGAGGCACATCTTGGAATGATCAGGCTCTCCGTGGCATGGGCGGGCAGCGCGCACTCGTGTGATAACCAAGGTAATGTAGACGTTCGTTCCGCCTATCTCATGACGCGAACTATAAGTATATTAATGCACAAAAATGTTGACCTTCTTCTAACGTGGGACAAACCTTATTTTACTATATCAATCTTAGTCTATGTCATTACTTAAAATATGACACTTTAAGACATAATTTCTCATTCAAATTTGAATAATTTTGAATAAATAAATATATCACATTAATCTCCTCATAGAAGAGAACGTGTTTAACATTGATCCCACTAATTTCAAAGTATAGGTTCTACTTTTATTTAAGCTTCAAATTACTCAAATAAACTTGTTTAAAATCATTTTTTTCAATAGTCCGAACACCATTCGAACCAAAAAAAAATCCCTTTTAAGTGTGTGCAGGTTTTGCCTAATAATCCCCTCAGGTTGTATTCATCTATTATGAAAATGCAAATTTTATTCCTAATCTCTCGAGATGGGAAAGATAAATATAGTTAACTAATATCACATAAATTTTATTTTTCTCAAATACCTTTCTCGTGAGTATTAACTTCCGAATCTTTGGGTATGTCTTAAACTTGTACATTTAACAGTTGTCGTTTTGCTTTCCCAAAATATTATTTAATTTGCCAAAAGAAAAAAATCAACCTTGATCATCATCATCACCAGTTTTCAATTTTCAAATAATACGGCAACTGCTCGTTTAATTGTTGACCTAAAATTTTCAGCTTTCCAAATATAATGGGACTCATCATGAGTTACGACCAGGAAAAGGACCAGGAAATTTTAAACTAGTTTGGTAATGACGAACCCAAGAAAAGAAAAGGCCAAATATGAAGGGGAGTTGGTTCTCATCGTAATTTAGATAATGCAAAAGATGACCACTTGCTTCAACGATGATTGATGAGCTCAAATTCAATTGGATCAGACATAATTAATTAAATAAATTCAAATTAGTCAAAAGGCATATCAAGTTTAATTCATGGATTTGGCCTAAACTAAAATTCAAAGAGTCTAGAAAGATTAACGCACATGAAAAGTAATTACCGGAATAGTCATTCTTTAAAATCAAGACTATTTCAGATGTACCATTCCTCAGCTGTAATTATCCTTTCCGAAGAATTAGTCACCTATCATTTTACGTCACTGCCTCAACTAAGATTTTATGTCTATAAATTATAAGTCTTCTCCATATGAGAGGGACATCTCTTTACACACCTTACAAAACTATCTCTCTTATAACTAGCAAGAGTATACTCTTACTCTCTCTCTCTCACCTATTACTTCATCAATAAAGACCATCGATAATCGTTGTAGCCTTCAAAGTGGAATAGGTCATCCTAATCAAGCTACTATACATTTGTGTGTTGTCTGTGTTGATCTGACATTTATGTTTACTGTATTTACTAACTATATTAATTATTGAATTATTAATTATGTATAAATTTATTTTATGCATCAATGATAAGATACACCTTTTTTTCACGTCTTTTCCTCCGAGCACATGTCTCATGATGCAACACAGTATAACGGAAGACTGCACCAAACTATATCATTATTAAAAGCAATCCATATTAAAATCAAAAACCTTTAATTGAGAAAATTCTCAATTATTTAATAGAACACGAAGATTAGATAAACTTATGCAAAGCCAACCGCAAATATGAAAACTTATGCAACTAATTACTTTGGTAAGAGCACATCCCTAAACAATTTCTCCAAGTTCATGTGAGAAGACCCACCAGGTCTAGAGGCCTCTTCTGCTTTGTTCTTCCATTCCATGGCCCTCTTCTTCATTTCCTTACCCTTCTCTCCCTCCATCAACTCCTTTACAAGCTCCTCCACTTCATCTCTCTTCACATCATTATCTATCTCCATGCCTATTCCCCATTCAACACAACTGTATCTACAATTCGTTTGTTGCTCAGCAAAAAATGGCCAACAAATCACTGGCACACCACCACAAACACTTTCAATGGTGGAGTTCCACCCACTATGCGTTAAGAACCCTCCAATCGCCGGGTGATTCAGGACCTGTTCCTGTGGACACCAGCTTGCTAACATGCCTCTTTCTTCAGTCTCCGTCACAAACTCCGGTGGCAACATGGCCGAGTCTCCGACGACTATATCAGGCCTTATTATCCACAAGAAGGGTTTCTTACTGTTAGCAAGCCCCCATGCAAACTCAGTGAGTTGTTGAGCTGTCATTACAGTTATACTTCCAAAGTTCACGTACATTACAGAGTTGGGTTCTTTGTCGTTGAGCCATTCGATGCAAGCTGGTTCTTCTTTCCAGAGATTTGACCCAATGGATTTAACCTTGTCGTCCTGAATTTCATTTTGCATCAAATGTAACGGACCAACACTGTATACTCGAGGATGCATGGTCGAAAGAGTTTGTAGAACATCATGTTCCAAGGCATCGAAGGTGTTGAAGATGATAGCAGAGGCTTTGGTCATGGCCTCAACTTCTCCGACGAGGAAGTTGAGCATAATATCATTTCGGTCTATTGTTCTAATGAAACTCGGAAAATCTCTCAATCGAATATCGTTCATTCCTGGTACCCAATCTACAATTGTCTCCAAATACCCATTTGTCACAGAGCTCATATCTACAAACCAAACAGTCAAAGTCAACAATATTTGTTAATTTCTAGCAGTAAGATTTCAAATCATAAGATTCATAACCAGTATTCTACTGTATAACTATAAATGTTGGAATTTCAAGAAAGATTATGTTACCAAAAGATGATTCTAGTAAAAAACAGAGGGTGAGATCTACTTAATTTGGAGGGATAATGACAAAATAAGATCGAATAAAATCACTTCAACGTCTTTGTTCGATAGTTTAACTTTTTTCTTGTTGTAATTTTGCCCAGATAAAATAACAATTAACCTTACCTATTTAAATTGTATTTTTTTTATTCCATTTTATAATTACATTTGATATGATATTAAAGTTAGAACCGTAATCTTTTCCTAGGTTTTTTCTATAAATATTTTTTGACCCATGGTGTGTATACCATACGTTTTCTCTCATCTATAATTAGACCAACCCTTTGATTTCTAGCATTAATGTTAACCGGAAAATCTTGACTTTTTTTTCCGTTGAATAATGAAAGATGATCGAGATAGTTTATGAGTATTTTAATTAATTTTTTTTTAATTTAATCTAAAATATATCATCTATATCGAGATTATGATATTTATAAAAAATTAAATTTTTTATAATTTAACTCTAAAAAATTATCAAAATTAAAATTCAAGAGATATTAAAGTCGGGTTAACTTCTTGCATTGGGACAAAAATAGTAAGTACACTTTTTCAGGTACAATACCTTTTAGTGGTGTAAAACCTCTTTCGACTAGATGGCTATATTGTGCATATGCCAAGACGCCACAAGCGCTTGGTGTCCAGAAGAGGACTTCAGGAACGCCAAACATTTCAGCAGCTTTGAGGGTGAAGCTCATGCAGGCATCGGAGACGATACAGCTCACCGGTGGGACGTCGGAGGACAAAGTGTCGTTGAGATTTGATATGAGATCGCAGAGAGGGGTCAAGCTGTGTTTCGGGGTGGAATCACAGAGATCAGGGATGCCTTGGGTAGAGTCGGCGTCGGAAAAAGGGAGGCCGTCGTGGATGGTCTCGAACTGAAAGTCCGGCAAGCCGTCGAGGGAGTTGGGGCCTCTGGACTTGAGTAAGCGTCTGTGGTTGTACTCTGTGTTGACGAAGGTTATGTGAAAACCTCTTTGGTGGAGAATTTTTGCTAGTTTCATCATTGGGTTTATGTGTCCCTGAGCTGGAAATGGAACACACACAGCATGAGGCTTATTAGCTGCTGCAACGGAACCCATCTCTCTCTCTCTCTCTCTCTCTCTCTCTCTCTCTCTCCAGGGTGTTGCGAGAAAGGGAAGAGGGCAATGACTTCTTTTTTATAGCCAACATTTCAAGGAGAACTTGAGTTTAAGTTGTTCTAATCTCGAGATCAAGCACCCACGTGGTCACGTGACGGTAACGGAAAAAGAGCATGCTTTTAAGGCATAATTTATTTAAAAGTAATATTATTGATATTTAATTTATTATAATCTTTAATTGACTGCAGCGTCGATCAAACATTAAAATTTAGTGTTGATTAAATAATTTTATTGAAATCACGTCATTTTTGTAAGTAAATTAAGTCATATATTGTAGGTTCAAATAGTATTATTTTTTATTATATTATATTGAAACGGTATTTAATAAAATTATATTGTGATATTAATAGGTTAAATCAAATTTTTAGGTTAGCATTACTCTTTTAAAAAAAAACTGCTAATCTCATTAAAACTTTATACTAAAGTTGTGGTCCTAATGATGAGCAAGCTCAGCCTCAATAAAAATAATGGGGTTCAACAATAAACTAAATGGTTATTTGTGTTTGGCCGGGTATATGTGTTGTCTTGATCTAGTCAATTTAGCATTATAGTTTTAAAAAAATAAGATTAATTATATTAAAGGTCTCTAAAGTATATAGTTTATCTCGTTTTAATCTCTAATATTTTATTTTATTATTATGATCCATGAACTAGTAAATATATTTATATATAATCTTTCAAGTAAACAATATCTAAATTGTTAACGGTTTTTTATCATAAACTTATCATGTCATATTTAAATATGGATAAAAAAATAATTTGATTGGATAACTCTGACTAAAATTTGGATAGTTATTGACAAAAAATGTGTAATATTTTTTTTTTGGGGAAAGGGGAATAGGGATAGAGACTTGAACTCTTGACCTCAAATAGGCAAAACCTTCACAAAATAAGGAGTATCATTAGACCAAAAGTTCATTGGTAACAAAAAAATGTGTAATATGGATAGCTCTTGACCAAAATTTGGATAACTCATGATCAAAATTGTGTAATTTGAGTAGTTTTTTGACTAAAATTTGAGTAAAACTCAACAGTTATTCAATTTATTTTTTTTTGCCTGTATTTAGATATTGTACAATAAATTTATAATAAAAAAAATCGTTAGCAATTTAGGCTCTATCTGTTCGAGAGATCAATTAAAGATATATTCAATATTTCAAGAATTAAAATGATGTAATTAAAATATTGGAGAACAAAATGATACGAACTTCATACTTTAGAGACCTCTAATATAATTAACCTCAGAAATAACTCGGTGTCTATACTTTCATATATAACAATCAAAAAAAGTCTTCCTTGCTTCAATGCTAAATTCTCAAAATTTCGAGTTATTTAAAATTAAAATTTTCCATGTGGTTTACAAACACACTTATACTATCTTTTTTAAGTATCCCATATTTGAATTGTTCATAATCTTTAGTGACAATTTTATATTTTTAAAAAAATTTATGCAACTCAATAATTATATTTTATCAATAATGTTTGGGTGGGGTGGGGGAAATACTGATATAATTGTAGGTTTTGTTCGAGTATCTAACGTCTAAGTAATCAATGAAATAGAGTAAAGAGGAATAACCTAGTGATTAGCATTTTTCCCGCGAAGTCTCTTGGTGCAAGGATTGAGTCTCACCCAGTCCTCTTCCCCTGTATGAATAATGACCAAAAAAACAACCAATGAAATAGCTAAAAAATGAAAATTTTGTATTATTGGTTTAGGAGACCAATCATGGGACATAAAAGGACTAAAGCCATTATTCAAACTTTTATAATTTAAATGGGGCAATGTTTTAATTGGGAAAAAAGTTATGGTTATTTTAAGAGTATATATATCTAGTTTACACTCTAATATATTTTTTTATTAAAATTAATATATATATATATATATATGAGATTTTTTTTTTTTAAAGATCATAAATATTCAAGTCAAGTTACAGATATCTCAATTAGTTCACTTTTTAATCTAATCGAAATTTAAATTCAAAATGTATATATTTATAGTTAACTTTATCATGAGTATAGCTTCGGGTGTGTGTATGTGTGTTTATAAGTCTTCACTTAGCCCTTATTCTGTTAGAATAAGTGGTCAGGTGTCAATCAAGAAAACTTGTATTTGGGTTCATAGGGAGCGTTAGGTGCTGGATTGGAATCCCACACTTTGGGCCGTTAGGCCCTGCTATAATGGTAATTAGGTCGGGGTGTCGAGGGACTAGACTATCCTACATCAGATAGTTTTGGATGTGTGTGTGTTTATAAGACTCTACTTGACTCTTATTCTGTTAGAATAAGTGGTCAGGCGTGAATCAAAAAAATTTATTATGAGTTGAGTTACATGGAGGTTATGTAAAAGAGATTCACAAACCTAATCTGCTAGTTTGACATGATCGCCAAGCAACTCTGCTTATTTATATTCATTTCAAGGTTTGACAATGCACCACCAATCAAATGTTTCTTACTTTTTTATTCTTTTCAATGCTTTAATTCAAAAGATGGGCGTGCTCGCTATTCAACGGCCGCCTCCATTTTTTAAGGAAAACACCTCAAAAATAAAAAAATAATTCATGTAGCACATTCAAAAACAGTTTTTGTTTATAAATCTTCACTTAGGTTAATGACAGTCATAGATCCAAAAATTACAGTTTTTTTAAGGTCAAATTGTAATTTTTTAATGTTTAAGTTTACAACTTACAATTGTATGATCGATCCCTAAAACATTTCAATTGAATACGAAAGTCATGACTTTCAAATGTTGAATTATAATTTTTAAAAATTAAATTATAACTTATAAAAAAAATTATAACTGCTTAAGAGAATTTCGTGATCAACCATGAACTTCTCTTGATCAGTTATAATTTTATTTTTCAAAAGTCTTGTTTGATTATTAAAAATAATAGATTGTGATACACTACCAATTTTTTTTTCCGTACTTTAGACTTTTCCCTCATTTTTGGTAGTTGACCGTATTCAGATCTGCTCAATTACCTAGGTTTTGGCGTCATTCAACTATGATCACGTTGAGCCAGAAAAAAATAAAAAGAAAAAAAAATGTCATGAGCAGGTAGCTTAGATGTTCAGCATGTGCACTTGAATTGATTTTTACCCTAGATGATAAATAAATTATGCAATTTGGTAATAGTGATAAATTATAAATTTAGATGTTATAAGGTTAAATTTTGATAATTTCTTAGAATTAGACTATGAAAGATTTATCTCTCTTGAAAATACTCTAATCCAGGTATAAATAGGTTATCATTGATCAGATTTGAGAAATGATTAATCGAGGTGTGCGTAATGTGACTTAAACACCTCTGACCATTAAACTAAATAAATAAATAAACCATGCTACACATTGGTATCAACAATAGATTTGGAGAATATGAAGATAAGGAGTAGAAGTCTATGGTACCTGGGAAAAAAAAATTCATATGGTATTGTCGGTTACAAGTTTTGTGGATTTTTGTACAAATTTTAAGGATTATTTACAACATTTAAGGGTTATTTATTGTCCAAGATAAGATTTAACTGTTTCATATCATGCTCTTGGGATTGCAAAATAAGATATAACTGTTTAATGACAATAACATGGATAACTTGGGGTTAAGTCGGGATTTTTAGGTCTACTTGACTAAATTGCATGAGATTCATAATTTACACGAAACATAAAACTGTATTGAATCATAATATTCTGAGTTAGATAAGGTTCGATCAACTCATATCAATATCGACTAATATTTTAAAACACGATGCAGCATAACAGCCAAGATGTGTACAACCTAATTGTTTAAATATTGTGGTTAGAGTTCCCCCGCCGAGGGGGGGGTGGTTAGGGTAGCCTTTGGGTACTGAGATATATTAAAACACACCCATATATTAAAACTAATAAAGTTTTGGGGTCATTTAGATATTTATAATTACATGTAAAATTATGTTTCTTTCATTAAATTGTTGTTGAATTGATAATAAACTCAATTCGATAAATTCAATAGATGAGATAACCACTAGTTTAATTTGACGAATTTAAGGGTAATTCTGTGAAGCATGGTAATATTGATTTATCATAAGTGGACAAGGTTGTAGATCAAATCAATAGTTATGCATCCACCTTTATTAGTTTCTCCTATTCGCATTGAATAAAAAAAAAATTCATCGTTTCATTATCAAAAAAAAAAAAATTATATAACTAAATCATCTTTTTTTTTTTTGAAAATTGGGCAATTATAGCTATGTTAAATATCTTAGTTCAAATGTAACTTCACTATTTATTCATTGCTACAATTGGATTCGATTACATAGTTTTGTTTCTCGTCCTCTCCACCAAGTCAAATGTCGCTATTACTCAACCTTCAATTGAAGTAGTGTATATATATATATCTTAGACCGCCTACCTAATCCTTATAAAATACTAGCTAGTTATCGAAATAAATCTTTGAAAGATAGCCACCATGGAGCCCGCAATCCAAGCTCTTGTTTGTTAATTTCTTCAACTCGATTTTTTTATCGGCAAATGATCAACTTTATACAGTAACCATTCTAATTGGGTGTACAAAACTAAGCAAAACTTATTAGACTTTAACTAAAAAATTAAGAAGATATGTCTGAGAATGCAAATATTGATGGTCGTAAGTCGAAACTAGGGTACTGATACTGCAATGGTTGCTCGATAATAGAGGTGGCTGCTATTGTCATGCTAAATGAGATGGACATTGTAAAAAATGAAGTCGGACAAAGAAGGTGACTCCATACTATAGAATTGAGAATTTATAAGAGACAGAAAAAGTTTGATATTAGAAAAAACTGTTAAGAATTGAATTCTTTTGTGGTTACTACCTTTCATCTAATCAGATAAATTAAAAAAAAAAAAAAAAAAAAAACCTCTTTATGAGTTTGCATTATTTTTCCATATCCCCTCAAGTTATGACTTAGATGCCCTGGTCCAGATCTATACCGTCTCTTATAAAAATACAAACACTCAACAGAATGAATCCAAATAACACAAAAAATAAAAGTCAAACTATGAAGGGGATTTGGTTCTCAAAATTAATGGGAATTAACCGGTTTGGAAACCAGGGTTAAGGTGTGTTATCTTGTTCTTTTTAATAGTCAGTAGTATCTGAGTTAATTTATCATACGTCGATTAATTCTTTTCTCTTCCTGATTAAAAATAAATTTTCTACGATAAAATTAAATTATTTATAAAAAATAAATTTTTCATAACCTACCCTAAAAAAGTTTCTGATATGTAAATACAGGATCTCTAAATTTACTGCACACTTACGGCTTAAACTACCGTAAAAGGTATATGTGTTACTATTGAAAACTATAAACCCAATTTTTTTTTTTTTGGCCACCTTTGTTGACTTGGCGGTTGGTGAATGACTGTCTGTAACCCTCCGAGTTTATCTATAGGGAAAATTTTAATCACACCCACTATAATTTACTATATCTTCAAAGATACACTCTAATTTTTGAATCTTCAATAACACTTATGTCAGATTAAAAATATTAAGTACAATGTAATTTTACTGAATTACCCATGATATATTTTAGGATAAACTTTATCTATACCCCCTCTAGATAAACATATTTTTAATGAGACCCCCTCTAGATAAGTATATTTTCAATGAGACCTCCTTTATTTTCTAATTTTTTTTACGTAATTAAATTCAAATCGATTAAAATTCTATTCAAGCTAATTAAAATTTATTTTTTTACATATTAAAATTTGTGCTATTTAAAAATTATATTTCTTTTTACGTATTAGAATTTTGGCTAATTAAAATTTTGTTTGAGCCAATTAAAAATTATTTTTAATCGACTCAAATCAAATTTTAATTAATTCGAATTGAATTTTAATCAATCTAATTTTAATTGACACAAATTTTAATAAGAAAAAAATATAAATTATAATCGACTCGAAAGAGAATTTTAATCGACCCTAACAAATCGGATAGAGTTCAAATCATCTCATATTTTAATATGTAAAAAAAAAAAATTTAATAGACTCGATTTGTTTTTAAAAATTTACTAATTAGTAAATAAAAAATTAGTATTTATTAACACATTATTTACTAAAATTTTTATTTATGATTTTTTAAAAATTTTAATAGCTCAAATTTTAATAAAATCTTATGTAAAAAAATTACTTGAGGTTATGTAAGGGCATTTTTGGTATTTTAGATGAATTTATTTTGTTAGAAATAATAATTTAATGGTAGGGTGTTAGTGATGTTTAAATTAAACTAGAAGGGATGTTATTGAAGATTTAAAAACTAAGAAGGGTGTCTTTAAATATTTGATAAATTAAAGAGATTGTCATTAAAATTTTCCCTTATCTATATGGTTTTAGGGCACTCTCTATTAGAGCTTTACATGAGCAAAGAGGAAGTGGGATAAAGAATGCCTCAACACTTGAGTTGAATTCTTGCACTTGCACATAAGAAATAGCTGGAATAAAACCTCAAAAGAGCGACAACAATATTCCTTGAATAAAACAAATATTTCCAAAATCAAGTTGCAAGTTTGAGTTCAGTATACCAAACATCGATCATAGTAGATTCAATGGAATTGTATATCGGTAAGTATAGAATTCTGAAGAAAAATAAATAAATTAAAAAAAAGTATAGAATTCCAAAGAGCAATACTATATGAATTTAAAATTTTAACTTGATTAATTAATTTAATCGATCATTGTTATTGACTTAACTATAGGTCTCATTGCAATAAATATTAAGTTACATTACTTGTGATTCATCACGAAGTCTGAATTTTAAGTCTGAAATTGCATTTTCCTTCGACTAATTACTTTGGTAAGAGGACCTCGCTGAACAATTTCTCCAAGTTCATGTGAGAAGACCCACCAGGTCGAGTGGCCTCTTCTGCTTTGTTTTTCCAGTCCATGGCCCTCCTCTTCATTTCCTTACCCTTCTGTCCCTCCATCAACTCCCCTACAAGCCCCTCAACTTCATCTCTCTTCACATCATTATCTATCTCCATGCCTATTCCCCATTCAACGCAACTGTATCTACAATTCGTTGGTTGCTCAGCAAAAAATGGCCAACAAATTACTGGCACACCACCACAAACACTTTCCAATGTGGAGTTCCATCCGCAGTGCGTTAAGAACCCTCCAATCGCGGGGTGATTCAACACTTGCTCCTGTGGACACCAGCTTGCCAACATGCCTCTTTCTTCTGTCTCCATCACAAACTCCGGTGGCAACATGGCCGAGTCTCCGACAACAATATCAGGCCTTATTATCCACAAGAAGGGTTTCTTACTGTTAGCAAGCCCCCATGCAAACTCAGTGAGTTGTTGAGCTGTCATTACAGTGACACTGCCAAAGTTTACGTACAGTACTGAGTTGGGTTGCTTGTTATTGAGCCATTCGATGCAAGTTGTATCCTCTTTCCACAGATTTGAGCTGATGGATTTAAGTCTGTTGTCTTGAATCTGTTCGAGCATCAAGTGTATAGGACCAATGGTGTATATCCGAGGATGCATGGTTGAAAGAGCCTCCAAAACATCATGTTCCAATGCATCGAAGGTGTTCAAAACGATGGCAGTGGTTTTGGTAATGCCTGCAACTTCTGTGATGAGGAAGTTGAGCATGATGTCATCTGGGTTTGTGGTTCTAATGAAACTCGGAAAATCTCTCAATCGAATATCTTTAATTCCTGGGACCCAATCTACAATTGTCTCTAAATACCCATTTGTGACGTAGCTCATATCTGCAATCCATGTACATAGAAAGTCAGCAAAGACATTCATTTTAATAGAACCTTAAATTGTTGCAAGATTAGAATTTTAAGAAAGATTATGATATCAAAATATTACTTTTTAATATCATATTATTATCAAAGTTAGGTTAAAATTACTACTAGATATAAGATAAGATTACGACAAAATTAGGTCCTTTAAGATCGTTATAACATGTTTAGTCGTACTTTAACATTTTGAAGCTGTAAATTGGTCTAAATTGAGACATAATTTCACTAAATCTATCATAATCTGACCTTTATTTTATAATAAGATTTGATTTTCAACCTGACATCATAAGTGGATCCCCATAAATTTTCAATTAATATTTTTAACCCATGCCAGCACTTTTCCTTTTAATTAGAATTTAATCAAATTTTTGTTTTTAGGTCCGAATAGCATTATTGTTCTTTTTTTTAGCAGTCAGGAGTGTCCAGATTAATTTATGCATAATTCGACTAATTTCCTCTTCAATCTGGTCAAAAGCTTGTCATCCACATCGAAAATAGGGTATTAATGGAGAATAAATTTTTCATGACCTGACCTTAAAGAGTTGTCAAGATTCGAACGCAGGACGTCTGAATTTATATTTCATCTTTGTTACCACTTGAGTTACCATTTGAGATTATAGCGTTATTGTTCTTAAAGGCAAGATCTTATGCTAATAGTAAAACCTTAAGGGTATATTTGGATCGCGGTTTAAAGGGTGATAACTCTGATAGAATAAGATAAAAAAAAAATATATGCAAGACCTGTATATTTTACGTTTGGTAAGTAAAAATTGCATTCACAATATCATTCAAATTTTATCTTAATCTGGTGTGAAAAGTCAATTTTAATCTATCTACGTAGCTTAAATAAAACCCAAAGGAGAATTGGGATTCTTTTCACTAGAAAAGACAACTAATGCAAATGGCCAGATTATCTAGTTCTTTTCTCTCTCTCTCTCTCTTGTTTACTTTGTCTCCTTCTATTCTTTCACAGATCTGATATTTTTTTTCAATAAATTTGTTTTATCAAAACAAGGCTTTGCCGACATACCTCAAGAAGACCAAGACGCTTTTTCCAACAAGACAACTAATTTAAATAATAAATTAACTATAATAAAGCAATATTCTCTTTAGACTAAGATTAATTAACAACTAATAATAAAATAACTAATTAATGAGAACTTGAGTTAATTGTCGGTAACATATGAACAGTCGTCCAGAGAATATAAAATTATAACATTTTTAAAAACTACATGTAAGAAAAATTTGTTCGAAATTAGTCAAAAGCTAATTTATAAACCAAATATGGTATTAAGTCGGATAGGTTATGAACAAACAGTCAATGTTACTCTATTCTATCCCCCTTTTTCATGGATCCAATAAAAGTGTTTGTGTCATCCAAATACCGGAAATGATAGAATATAACTACTAAATTCTAACCAAATCCAATGATACATGAATTGTGGTTGAATAATATATGATATTTTTTTAGATCTTCAATCTAGTCTACCTTCTCATCCAAACACACCCTAATGGTTTTTTGGTTGAAAAACAAGAGGAATAATTTTCAAGTAAAAATGAAAGGGAAGGAGATTGGAGGGATTAGTCATTCTTTCAACTCACTAAAATCTATACCTTTAAAATTGGGCCCAAAAAGAAAAATTAACTATGTGTATTAAAATTTAAATCATCTATCTTTTACATTCTTTAAAGAGCATAATATTATTTAGACCTAAAAATTTGTCTTCATTTGTCGACTTGATGAACTATAACCTTTGGATTAACTATAAGTCTTATCGAACATTGAAACTTGTTCTTCATATAATGATTCCAATGAAGAGGTCAAATTTTTAGGTTCAAAATAGCATTATTCTTCCTTAAAATATAGAGACATGTCGATGTAAGATATATACATGTTATCGATCTATCTATATATCAATTGCATTTGTTGATACAATAATAAACTATGTACGTATCCCTACTAACCACAATAATTATTTCTTCTTATCTTTTCTCTCTCCTAAAATGACTTTTTATTTAATCGCACTTTTCAATCATTTTTTCAGACTCAAGATAAATTCATGCATCTCTAGACACAAATAGTACTTATATTTAATCCTATACTATACCTTTCAGGGGTGTAAAACCTCTTTCAACAAGGTGGCGATATTGTGTGTATGCCAAGACGCCACATGCGCTTGGTGTCCAGAACATAACTTCGGGGAGACCAAACCTCTCAGCAGCTTTGAGGGTGAAGCTCATGCAACCATCGGAGACGATACAGCTCACCGGCGGGACGTCGGAAGATGATGTGTCATTGAGTTTTGAAAGGAGATTGCAGAAGTGGGTTAAGCAGTTTTTTGAGGTGGACTCAGAGAGAGAAGGGATGTCTTGGGTAGCGTCGGCGTCGGAAAAAGGGAGGCTGTCGGGGATGGTGTCGAAGCTGAAGTCCGGCAAGCCGTCTAGTGAGTTGGGGCCCCTGGACTTGAGTAGGCGTCGGTGGTTGTACTCTGTGTTGACGAAAGTTATGTGAAAACCTCTGTGGTGGAGAAGTTTTGCTAGTTTGAGCATTGGGTTTATGTGGCCCTGAGCTGGATATGGAATACATACAGCATGAGGCTTATCAGCTGCTGGAAAGGGAGTGGAAGTGGAAGTGGAAGTGGAACCCATCTCTCTCTCTCTCTCTCTATCTCTCGTGCGTTGGAATGGAATTGCGAGGGTTTTGGCTGCTTGTTTATATAGCCAACATTTCAAAGAGAACTTGACTTTTCCTGAGTTCTATATTAGTAGGAGTTTTTACTTGAGTTATTTTAATAAGACTAATTTACATTGATCAAATTTTAAATATAATAGTTGACTTTGACTTCTTTATTTGGTATCATATCATTTAAGTCTCAATAACTACTCCAAATAATATATTGTCATGTCGTTTAAATTCTTAATTTGATCTCAAAATTTGACCAATATAACATTATTGTTTTAATAATAAGAGTACCAACATGACAATTATATATGCCTCTCAAAAAAGGTGTAATGTTATTTTCAACTAACTCTAAATTAGGTAGTCAATTGTTGAGTTCGAGTGAATAATTAGCATAAGTTAAAATACTTATAAAAAATAAAATATTATTTATACTTAAAAATTTGACTTAATTTATTGATCTAATGATATAATTTCAGTTAAATCATTAAATTAACGCTAAGTTTTAATATTTGATGAGACTCCCACAATCAATTCAAATGTCATTGTAAATTAGGTCAGTAAATTAGATCAATTGAAAAAATACCGGGCCTAATCATCTTCCAAAAATTGAAAACAATGTGTTTGAGGGATTCAAAACCCTAGCCTACAAGCTAATATATAGTCAAGAAAAATTGACAAAACAACATAGAGGAGAATCAAAAACCCTAAGCTTGGCAAGACCCCTACGCAGTTACTATTTTTATTTTTTTTTAATTAGAGGTCATACACGTACGGTACTCATGTGCAACTAATTAAAAAAATTAGAATAAATAAATTTAGGTTGGTTACGAGTGATTAAGTATAACTGAGTGTACTTAAAAAAACTCGAGGAATATTTCAGATATTTTGTCCGCAAACACCAAATTTCATTCTCTTCTTTTATTAATAATACAAATTATTTTTTGAAGGCTCGACAAAGCCGACCCTCTATTCTTATTTCTTTATTGAGTGAACTATTTATTTGAGTCTTAGACTATATTATTTGTATTAATCAAGTTTTTGAACTATGTTCTATTTTAATTTAGTCCCTAAATTATATCATTTGTGTCAAAGTGACCCTTCTGCCCAAATTCGTATTTAATTTGGACGAAATTCCTAACGTGGACATCACATGAGTCGAGAATTAATATATAATTTAAGGATCACATGTTATGTACATAAGAAATTCTGTCAAACTTAACAGCAAATCTAGACGAAATGACCATTGTGACACAAATATTATAGTTCATAGGTTAAATTTACACAACACGTAATTCAAAAGCTTGATTGATATAAATAATATAGTTCAAGGGTCAAATAAATAATTAACTCTTCTTTATTCTTTTCATTTCAACATTTTCAAAGACGAATGTGCTCTCTAACTCTGTTAATGTTACATTTATCAAAATTTTGATCAAATTCTTTTATTTCAAATCAATATGAATCATAACATCAATAAGTTTACAAACATTCGCTAACTATTCAATAACCCTCAATATATCACATTATTTGAGATATACAATATAATAAAAGACTTAATGGGCATTAAAAACTGGTCCAACCCTAGTTTTCAAAAATAAAAACTGGTCCAACCCTGGAGTGGCCCAGACCGGTTGTCTATTTCGTACGTGACACGGTAAATCACAGCCGGCTCTTAAATGTTTTGCCGGCCGGTGATGGCATCTGTTGGCCCATTTCTTTATGGCTTTTGATTGATTGAATAAACCAATTGATGTCTTGTTCAAAAAATATTGAATGAAATTGGGACACTATATCATTATTATCACCTGTCATCAATTAATAATAAAATAATATGTAAATTAGTATAATCTATTTAATTTAATAACTATAATGTCCACGTAAAAAAATAATTACCATTTATAAAAAAATGGATTTTACTTTGTTCATTTATAAGTTTGTTATTTGACAGTGACACAACGTGATAACGGTGATGTGTTGCTTTTGTTATAACCAATATTTAATTATTTTTTTTGGTTCTACGGTTAGGATTGTGCGTGTCAAGTTATGCATACCTAGATTTATCCCTTTCTCAGTTATGTTAAAAGTAAGTCATCCACCTTAAAATTAAAAAATTTATAAGAGATAAATTTCTCATAAATTAATATCAAAAAATTACTATTTACTCTCTCAAGAGAGCGTACAAAAATGTCTCTTTGTCCCACCAATTAATGGGATATTTCATGTCAAATTAGTAGTCTTGGTCGTGAGATTACGGTACAATTATTGATTTTGAGTCGGATGATTTGTAATCATTAATTTTTTTTTTAAAAATGATAAAATATTAAAGTATTACAACATATTGAAAAATTTGTGGACGTAATATATTTTTATCGATTGAAAAACAAAAATATAGTACTAAAAAATATTTGTTAATATCATTATCAAACTCTAGAGTTAATTGAAAAAAGTTAAATGTTCCCCATCGTTGCCATAGAGTCTCGTACAAGAGATTATATTTGCGATTTCAAGTCATAATAGAATAATAACCCAAGACCTAGGAATAGAGAGAGAGAGAGAGAGAGTTGATCCTCATAAATGGATATGTTCAATGAATATCCAATAAATTCTTGAGGTAACATCCCCCCCCCCCCCCCCCCTTCTTGCCCCCTCGAGATCTCTAATTATTTAAGGGAGATAATTGATCTTCTCTCTATAGAGATTCGAATCAAAATTATTATATAAGTAGTAGGGTTTGAAATCTAATTACCCTTCGACCACAGGACTGGTACGGAAGGCCACATGTGACTAGAGTTTGTATTCAATGTCGTCCTATTAGATTCATTTTGTGTCCTTATAAGGGGTCTAAGTTTCCTTATTTGCTTTTATGATTTTTGAAATTTTGGAATCTACATGCCCCACAACTCGGGGGGAGAGAGAGAGAGAGCTTCCTCTTTTTGGCTTGTAATCGATCCTATGGAGCTATGCAAGTCACGTGGTTGAGCTTCGAACTAAATGTATTGAGATGGTGGATCCTAATATCTGTAAGGGTTAAAAATCGCTATGAATCTCATCCTTCCACTTGAAGGATTTCGGCTGATTTGGCGGCACCGAGCCGCAGTAGCCTTTATCTCTATTCGCCAATAGGACCCTTTCCTAAGGCAATCCCACATCGGAAGAGAGTCGTCTTTCCCCTTGTCATATAAGTGAACACTTCATATGGAGGAGGTACCCACCTTTGAGTGCAAGGGCTTATATGCGAGGGGGGGAGACGACTCTCAGTCGATGTGGGACGAAGTTCCTGCGGGCACTGAGAGGTAAAGGCTACTGGGGGATCGCCCGCATGAGTTAACCCAGGTCAAGCCGAAATCCTTAATAGAGGGTTCTACCCCTTACAATATCTTTATCACTTCTTATCTTTCTAATATACCCATCTCAACATTATACAACCCCGACTGCAGTATGATGTTGAGTTGCATGTATTCCCTTGTGAATTTTTATTTAAAAAAAAAAGTTTATATAATCCGTTAAATTGATAATTTCCTATAATATTGGGTGGGATGAAGATGACCTAGTTCGAGTAAAGGTGTAGCAAGAGATGTCAAGATGGGATGAACGTAAATAATTTAGTATAAATTCTGCACATCATACGACAAGTTTTGGTGGGCTTAGCTGTGAAGCTCATCTCAAAAGATTGAATCAATCCACTGTCAAGTTACTGTTCTAAGGTTGACAAAAAATGTCAGCTTTGTAATAGTGGTTATCAACAAACTTAAACGAAAACTCTTAGAAATAATTGAGTGGTTGAATTTCACATTTAGTAACTCAATAGTCTCTTGTTTAATCCCTTCTTGAACTCCCTAACGACTAGTCACTCTTATTCTTTAGGAATGTATTCTAACTTAGCTCAAGTCAAGTGATATACTATTGAGCTTAAATAAATAATCGACACAAATTTAAACATTTTATTAGACAACCTCTTTTTTTCGATAACACTACACTAACACTCCCAATATAAATAAATTATTGGATTTTTTTTTTCAAACTATGACTTTTGGCGATACTGCATTAGATATTCTAAAGTGGTCCAATGAAATGGGCTGTCACTTTCTTCTTTTTCTTAGCTTACTAAAAATATTTAAGTTTCTTCGAACAGTTTAATCTTTTCAAATATATACATTTATATATATATATATCATTTTCAAACATATACAGTTCTTTTTTATTTTATATCATTATATGTTTAGAGATCGACAATGTTTGATCAAATACGGAATCATTGTATATTCAGAGATTGACAAGTTTTTATCAAACTCTTCCATCTCAACTTCTTCGACAAATTAATTACTATTATTTGTCTAATCAGCTAAATTAAATGATGCATTCACTTAAACGGGTCTTTATCGTCGCCGTCATCATCATTATCGATTGTTCTAATTTTTTGATCAAATGGCAAGGACCTAATACACTTGGTGCTCCTTCGAGCAGCCGTCTAATCTTTTCGAGCATATATAATTCTACTTCTTTATGTCTTTGTATGTTAAGAGATCGACAATGTTTTATCAAATGCGGAATCATTATAATTAATGTTCAATGTTTACAAATTTTTTTATGAAACCCTTGTCTGAAAACTTCTTCGACAGATTGATTACTATTATTTGTTTAATCAGCTAAATTAAATTATGCATTCCCTTAAACAGCGTCGTCATTGTTGTCGTCATCATCATTTTTGTAATTTTCTGATAAAATGGCAAGGACATTCTTCTAATCACAATAGACTTATGACCCATAAGCGAAAAAAGCTGACATAGCGGAATAAAAAATGCAACGATTTTCTATGAATCGAATCAGAGGAACATTTTGAATCTACAGAGAAATCAGAAAATGGAGAAAATTTTTGAAATATGATACTATTGAATTCACAATCCGTAGTACAAACGAACAATATAAATTTTTATAATTTATCTTTTGTTGGATTGCTGAACCAACTTGTATCAATAAATGTTTCGTATCTTTTGGGCCAAGTACATGCTTGGGTTGGGGAAATATCTTTTTCAAAGGGCCACCACTCCTTTGGCATATTTGTAGATAAGTGCAAATCTAGTGCAAGTTGAACTCTTGCCTAGGGCCAAGGGGGGTCATGGTCCCCTGGACCTTTCAACACCCGTTTTACTTTCCTAGGTCCTATGTGCTCCAAGAAACCCATTCAAATTAGTAATAGTGTCTGTTATAGAACCCCGAGCATAATTACAAGGTTCCTTATTGTAAAATGTTTGATTTAAGTCATAACTATTAACTCAAAAAGATAATTCGTCACCACATCACCACCAAAGGCAAATAATAAATCGTGTTACTCTCGTAAATCAAACCCTACTTGATAATCATATAAGAGTTAATCACATCTTTATACAGGTATGACTTATTACTTGACCACTAGCTCAAGTGATAATCTCTATACATTTATGGATATGACTATAGTACCCAAAAATAGATTCGAGTCACTAATTTTGTATTAATTTATTTGTGACAATTGAACTTGAACGAAATAAAGTTAAGCAACATGAGAAAAAATAGAAACTTTGTGGATGTTATCTTTTTGATTGATGAAAAATAGAAGTTGTGGTACCAAAAAATAAATTTTGAATTCCCTAGCCAGAATTGTGAATGATCATTACACAATTTATTCAATTAGCAAAGCCAAAAACACAAACACAAACACAAACACACACACATCACACCCTGTGTGAGAGAGAAATACATAGCACAATTTGGATGAGCTTTAGCAAACACTGCATATTTTCAGTGTTGCATAATCTCTCTCCAATGTGAACCATTATCCGAATTATTGCAAAAAACAGACAACAATTTGAAAGTCCCTTTTAGCCATTAGCTCTCCAGAGGGCCTCCGCTTACAATTTCTCTCCATGAAATTGTTGTTGGATCAGAAGTTGAGTCCCTTCAACAAGCCTCTTTACCACTTCACCTGCAGGTAGAATTTCTTTAATGAGGCCCACGCCTTCACCGGCATACATCGCCATGCTTTCAATATCACCAGTTGTCGTCACATTGGGAACAGTACCAGCAAAACGACGAATCTCTTTTTCCTGTTAGAGAGAAAAATGAAATCAATCACAATTCATTGGATGAATCACAATTCATTAGGATTTTCATTGGATGAAATCATTCGTATTCATGAATACCCTTCGCCCGTTATCTCCTCAATCTAGTAAACAAAAATCTGTTTCGGTCCTCTTCCCCACTACTTGGAAAAAGTGAGTCACCAGTTCAGCTAAAAGATACTATCATTACTGCCTGAACAATTAGACATCCAACCCGCAATCGCAACGACCCCATTTCGAGAGAGGAGCTCTACCAACTGAGCTATCTATCAACATATTTAAAAGGTGTGATTTGATCCTTAAGATGTTCCATTATGCAATGACATCATCCCAAATATTGATAGAAAGAAACAGAAAACAACAGAAGGACAAGTTCAGCATTACTAGGTATGAAGAGAGAATTTTTACCATGCAATGTATGGTTGAACGACCAATGACTGGTTGATTGGCCTCATTTTCATGACTCGGAAGAGTTCTCCAGTCCATGAAGAAAGGTGTTTTCAGGACACGCTGTGGTGCACCAGGCCACCTTGCACGGCCAAATACATCTGTATACTCGGTTTTGTCGTGTTCAACCAACTTCAGCTTGTATGTTGGGTGAGCATAGCTTTCCCTTGTTGCAAGAAACCTACATGATGCATGTTAATTGAAGCATTAAAAAATTTGACAGAATTAATCGAGATCAGGAGCACGCTTGCAGATTCCATTTCTAATGAAGCTAAAAATCATATGCTGCTTTGAATTATATAACCAAATTTTGAAAAACATTTCTGCTATATGTTTTCTGATGATTAGAACATAGAAAGAAATGATGAGAACCATAAAAAGAAAGTGGAAATGAATTTCTTCATGTCTTGGTTTTGGATTTTGCATTATGTTCAAAGCAGAAATCAAAGCTGACAAAGTTGGAACTACCATCATTTTCCAGAAGATTACAGTTTATACTTCCCAATAAACTTTACTCAGGAAACTGATTATAAATTTACAGTTGAGCACCCAGACTTAGCTTCATCTTGATGAAAAGCTTTAGAAACAATCCTCCTCCTTTCTCCAAAAAAAAAAGTGTCAAGAGACCAAGCATCTACAAAGGAACAGCCCGAAACACAGAGAGGCGGTTCCAAAAATGAAACTACCCACGCAAAAATAATTGGAATTTTTGCATAACAAGATGAGATCAGTTCATTGTTGTCTGGCATTTAAAGGTGGAAAAAAAACCTTGTCAAAAGGGAATCTCGAGCCTACCATCTATGTCACGGATGCAAACATGCAAATGGCAGAATGCTGAAAAGATATGCTTAGTAATTTTCCAAAGAAATGGTGTCAAACCTTGTGCCTAGGCAGACACCCTGTGCTCCAAGGGCCAAGGCAGCAACGCAACCACGCTCATCCACAATTCCTCCAGCAGCAATTACGGGTATTCTCCCACCAACAAGATCAACTACTCTTGGCAACAATGAAATCAATCCATCCTGCACATAATCTGTGGAAATAAGAACATGTAGGTAACTTCTCAAAAGTAGATACAGCACTTGCTCTTTTGAGAATACTTAATAGCAGCCATTAGCATCGTTATTTGACATTCCATTTAGGCAGCAGTGACAGTTGATTTTACAACTCTCATATGCTTTAATGACACCCCACCAGGAGAAGTATCAAACTGTCTCATATTCGCGAAAATTCAGTTCCTCAATGAGGGCTGGTTTTGTAAATATAGAAAATGCATGGGTAAAAGGTATTGGATTGTTGTTCCGGAACTACAGTTGCTACGACTCAACTTCTGGAGTCCTTGTTGACAATGACAGAACTTGTATCATTTAATTGCAAGTTTTGGAAGAAAAGAGCTATTACATTCTTAAAGATGTATGAAATGATATAGAACTCACAAACAGAACAGCAATTGTACCTGACCAATAACGTGCCCTCCTGCTTCACGTCCTTGGACAATTATTGCATCTACACCTGCGTCAGCAGCTTTTCTTGCTTCTTCAAAGCTCCCAACCTTCAAATGTAATGCATATGACTAATTAGATACAAAGGAAGAAAAATCAGAAGGCTACAGAACAATCCAAGGTCTTATCATCCACTGTTCAACTCATACGATTACAGACAACATATATTATCAGGGGGTTGCCACAATTGCATACTTGTTATCTCCAGATCAAATAATCCAATCCGTCCCATATGAGTTGGAATAATGGCAAGGTGAATTCTAGATACCAATGCTTAATATGAATGGAAGACTTATAATGCAAGGACTTCAAATTATTGGAAGGAACACAAGTTTGAGGGAGCCCTTCATCAAGAGTTCAGCAAAACATGGCTGGCCACATCCCATTATGGCTTTAGGACTGAGATAGGATAGCCCTTTGCCAGAAAGATTGTCAATTTTGTTAATCTGTTTATTGGACATGAGCCCACAACACTTACTTGGGGAACAATCTTGACCCCAGCTTGCTGAGCTTCAAGGACGAGGTCCTTTGGACATTCACCCCAGGAAACCTGTAATACAGCGACCTTTTCATCCAGAATAGCCTTTATATTTTCCTTGTGAGGAAATGCCAGCACAACACCTATCCCAAATGGTTTGTCAGTCAAGGTTCGAGTATTCCTTATCAGCCTTCTCACATGGTCTGGTGCCTCCTGGCAAACAAGTAGAGTATATAAAATCAGAAAACATTTACCTACGAAATTAGACAGCACTAAATCAAAAAATAAATGCATGTATCGGAAAAGAGTAGGGATTCAACCCCAAGAAGATGAAGAAGAACAAAAATCCCCCAGAATAAAATTCAGGGTTCAGTTGTGAAAACCGTTTCTGGATCATGTAAACTGTACATTTTATGTAACTTCATATGGACAAGGAATCGTTTTGGAAATTTCACATTTTCACAAATTAGAGGTTGAGTTTTAATCTTGTAGTTGAATCAAACAAGGCCCATTGGTCCAGAAATTCCATGAATTTTTTGTAGGATTATTTAAATGCTTACATCCTGTGTTTTTGTCTACAAACATTGCCTTAGATCTAACTTCAAACTAGAAGATATGCAACAAAATCTTCGTTCACATTATTTGTTGACATAATTACAAATATTAGTTTTGTCTCAATTAACATTACTTCTCTGCTAAGGGCACCTGAAAGCCAATGTCTGATTGAGCATATATCTAGCTACCCAGTAAGACTGATGGTGACTTCAAGTGTCTACGTTGAGATAAAAAAATTATAACAGTGCAATCATCACCTTATTTAAAAACAATGATATACTGACAGAGGGTTCAAAACATGGGAGTTATATCAAGAATGCTAGGAATATTCCACCACTTGCGAAATTTCTCTTATATTTTAGACAGCTAGAACAAACTATTAGTTAAATAACAAATTCAAACAACGACCTTACGCCAATTTAAGTTATGCTTATATCACTAACACTGTTTAATTGGCTTGTCGTAGCATGTCGAGTGTGAAGACTAGTATCACACTATTGCCAAAGAATTCAGTTCCTAACTGATTCCAATTAAGTAATCCATACATTCTTTTTCCATTTCTCTTACCCTCATTATAAAGCATCATCATTATTTATTGGTAATGAAAAAACCTCTGAACATGATACAGATCAATATACATGCATCAAGAACAATGGTTATAAAATTTTAGCTGTTTCTGTTCTTCCCTCACCCAGTCTCACTTAAAATTGATAGTGGCTTAGTGCACAAAAAACACTACTTCCAAGAATAGAATACTTATAGATTATCATTTGAGTGAATCTGGGGGACGGCCAAAGGGACCTTAAGTCATTAGCACAAAAGGTCAAACACATAGTATGCATGAAACAAAAAGATCAAAGTAACCTAATTTATAACAAACACTAACAGAAAAATTACAGTAACGTTTCAACTTTCAAGTGATCATAATCAAAATTAAAAATAATAATAAGAAGAAACGAAATCTAAAAAGCTAACCCAATCTGGGGCTCTGAGGAGACCAAGTCCACCAGCATTAGCAACAGCAGCTACAAGCTCTGGACCTGAAATATCAGGTCCCAGAGGTGCCTGAACTATTCCATACTCAAAACCCAGAATCCCTCTCCAACCCATCTCTCCTCCCACTTCTCTCCTCTCCCCTCTACTTGATGGAATCTGTATTTAAATGGGGCAATGTGTATATGCGTTTGAAACAATTTATAAGAGCTGTGTCTGTGAGCCATGGAGGCTGAGAAGAGTATAGGCTTGTGTGGGGCTGCGAGGTGAGAGTGCCAGCGCAGAGTCTTCTTCTTCGTCTACTGTCTTTCTCTTGACACGAAGGAGTGCACTCTAACGTAAGCAACGACGTTATGTTCCGTGTCTCGATCTTCTTTGTCTTGTGTTCTTGTCTTTCTCTTCGACCTTTTCAACATTTTTTGTACATAAATAATTCCTGTACTTTTATTTTTTGCAATTTCACCGCGATAACTCGGACTACTTTACGCATATCTCGATTAATCATTTTTTTTAATTTGATCAAAGATAAATTATTCATATTAAAAATAAGATATTCACAAAGAATAATCATATCATACTTGTGTTATTTGAAATTCAAGTTTTCATTAATAGGATTCATTCTGAAAAATATGTTTTTTTTATATATATATTTTCTAATTGAGAACTTCAATTATGATATTAAAGTAGCGGAACTAGAATTGTAAACTGACACCCTCCCGTGGGAGTGGGAATTCAAACCATTGAGAGAGGTAGAAAATACCCTTAATTGTTCGACGGGTTGAAATAGTTTTATTTGTAACCTTCGGTAATCGAGTATTCAATTCCATGACACTCAAGGAGCATAGTGTCGTATCTCAAGGGTTCAACTAATACTATTGTACGTGGTAGATAAATATTCTTGTAAATAAAACTTTCAACAAAAAAAAATATATTTTATGCATAGCGATATATGTACATGACATTTTCATGTAATTTATATATTTTTTTGGGCACTTTTTAATATAGTTTCTCTCTTCCTAGTTTTATATTTTTAGTACAAATTGTTATGCATAGCGATAGGTTGTCAATTTCTAACATGATTTATAAATTGGAGAGCGAGTTAGGTTTGCATTTTTGGATGGGAAAGAGAAGAGACTGACCCTCAATAGAACCCAACAGCCCGCCGCTTCTCATTTGCACCCATTACTCAAGTGGAAGAGCCGTGCAGCTTCATGAAGCAAATTAAAAAAAGGCATATTGCACTTTATAGCTTATAAGATTTAAGAATTCTTATTTTATATCTTTAAAGATAAATTATAAAATTCGAGCACCTAAAAAATTGATCTTTTTATATTAATTTTTTTCAACATGTGTATACTATCATATATGAATAATATTTAAAATAAAAATTATATTACCTACAAATTAATCAAATATTAAATGATTAAACATATGATTAAAATAAGGTGATTTGATATTTTTAGGTTTGAAATATATAAATAATTAAACATGTGATAGATATGAGTGATGTTGTGTTTTTAGGGAAAAAAAATGTAGGGGATAAAAATTCAAGTTGCTATGTGTTTTATTATATAGATGACTCTTTTATTTAGCTCACTATTAACATGACAAAAAAAATAACAAAATCTAACATAAAAGATAAGATTGTAATATTTTTTATATATTAAAAGTACAATGTAAAAAATTTAATATTTAAAAGTATAAAATAAAATTTTTATGTCTTTTAAGGTATAAAATGTAATTCTCCCAATTAAAAAAGGGTCATGATTGGTTTTGTAAAATAATGCTCCGTTTGGTAGGAAGAATGAAAAATATGAGAAATACACTTTCTATCTTTCATGGAAGAAAAATATATATCATTTGTGTGTTGGTAGGAAGGATGAAAAATTAAAAAAATTAATACTTTTTTTTTGTTTTGTAAGATTGAAAAAATATTTTTTTATTTTTTATTTTTAAAAAAAATATATAAATACATATTTTATCATTGTATTTTTTATATGAAATTAATGTATAGATAATATATGTAAATATCAAATGATATATAGACAAATAATATACATTTCAACACAAATAATTAATTTTTCCTCCACCTTCCTTTCAATTTTGGAGAGATTAATTTTTGTGAGTCGGAAGGAAAGCTCGTTCATCCATTTTTTGTTATCTTCCATATTTTCTTTTCTTACCAAATATGATATTTTTATTTATCCCCTAATTTTTCATCATTTTAATTTTTTATTATCTATTTTTCTATCGTATCTAAGGATGTCAGTGGACCGAAGCGGGGGGGTATAGTCTTCATCCCCGTACCCGTTTAAAAAAACTTCGTACATCCCCAGTCCACCCCTGTTAACGGGAATAATTTTCATCTCCATCCTTGTCCGCGGGTAAATTTCTAATCCCCGCCCCCGTCCCCGCTTCTCCCGTACCCGTACCCGCTCAAGCCCAAGCCCAAGCCCAAGTTTAAGCCAAAATGCCCAATGTATATTGGAGATGGTCAAGTTTGAAGGAATGCTGAGACTGTCTAACAATCCAAAATGCCTTATACGACTTGCACCTTTTCAGTAACAACCACAAAGAGGAGTTTTTTTACCAATTCATTAGAAATTAGTAAAGTATTAACGTAAAAAAAAGTTGTAAAATCTAGGCAGAAAGGCAACTGATTCCCAAAAGGAGAGAGCGGAACAGTAGTAAAACCCCAACTAATATGTTTTGGATAACTTGAAAGCAAAGGAAAAAACAACAATAAGAAAAGCTCATGTAATCATGCGGAGGCATACTATTAATAAATTATCCACAAAGGAGTATATTGACAAAGCATTTTAGCTAAGTCCACTCATTAAAACCAACTGAACCAAATATGCGGACATTCTTAGATAAAATGGTGTGAACTTAGCATGCTTATTAATATTTTCAAAATAATACACCATGAATGCCACAGTTTATCCAACACATAAAAGACAATCAAATCTCCAACCCTTCTAAAACTAGGCCTAAATATGCACTTATTCTCAGGCTGCAGCAACTACACAGGGAGCTATCGATTTTAGTACTCAAAAAGCATAGCAGACATAACTAAGATGTGTTTTTCCAAGTATGCGAGGCATGGTCCTATTTAACACCCAACTCCAGAAAGGCAATTGATTCCCAAAATTTGTAAAATCTTGTACCTTTTCGTTATAAACCATTATTAGAAATTAGTTTTTATACCAATCTAGGAGTTTTTTTACCAATAACTAAAACCAAAGCACTCCATTGCCATTGATAATAAAATATCAGTGGGTGGGTTTGTGCTCTTCCATGGACCATCGAGACGAGCTAAGTTTGTTAAACTAATTCTAAATGGGTTGGTGGTCTCAAAACTGCATGTCAAATCTTTAAGATTATTCTACAGGGGCAACTAGAAATAGAACAAGGAGAACAAAAGGCAAAAAAGAAAACTTACCCATGAACTATAATCGATCAGCGATCAGCTAGAGCAGAGGGAGAGAGAGAGCTAAGTGCAACGATTAGCTCAACGAGAGAGGAAGAGCTGAAAAGCTCAGCTAAGTTAGGGGCCTGTGTCACTGTTGTGTGTGTTTGTGTGTGAGAGAGAGAGAAAAACGTTGATAGAGGAAGAGCCGAAGAGGAGAGTTAGGGCAGGGCCTTAGGGCTTTAACTGAGAGTTTATATATATATAACGGGTATAACGGGGACGGGGCGGGGTAAGGGTACGTCCATCCTCGCACAGATTTATACGGATATCTCCGTATACGTTCACTGTCCAATACATATAGTCCATCCCCGATCTAAACGGGGTGAATTTGAACGAATACTCGTTTTTTTCCAGTTCATTGTCATCCCTAATCGTATCAAACGAAATATAAGAGATGATTTGTTAAAAAAAAAAAATGATTAAGAGACGATTCTGAATGGCCCTAACCGCCTAAACAATACCCCCATCAATCCCACCACATTTTGGAGTGGGCTGGACCTAAAATTTAACTAGGAGCGTTACTCGGATGGGCCAAAATTATAACAATTCTCTACAAAATAATTATGTATGGAAAAACATCTCTAATCGTGACTCAAATTTTTAATTAAATTTAAATTCATATTTGAGTAAAAAATTTAATTTGATACAAAGAGCTCTAATGGATAAACTCAAATTTAAAGAAGGAGAAACTCAAATTTAAAAGAGAGTAAAGATGACTATTGAATTTTTAAAAGAGGGTAAATTTTCACCATTAAAAATTTGAGTCTCCCTTGATTTGAGTAAAAAATTGAGTATCTCTTAATTTGGTATAAGTTTGAGTCAAGGTTGGAGCAAATTTTTTATAATTTTACTCAAATTTAAATTTGAGTTAAAATTTAAGTCAGGGTAAGAGATGTATAGTCTAGGTTAACCCGATTTGTAGAATTCGGATAGTACTCGAGCTAGATTTGTACGATCCTACACATTAACTTAAAGTGCTGCTTACCGGAAAAAAAACTTAAAATGCTGCCAAACGTAAAAGTTGAATTAGGATTTTGTTTTACCATTATCAACTCAAAAATATTCAAAATATCTTTTTAATCACGAGGGTATTATTTGTTTGGATTCAAATTGAATTCTGAATGATTATTAACACCTTTTTGCTTCATTTGTTTTTAAATTTTAAACAAAAATGTAGGTGGAGCACTATATTTTAAATAAGATTCAAATTTGTACGACTTTCAGTATGAGCGTGGTCTGTTAGGGATGTACCAATTACAAATGGCCATACTTCGTTTTTTAAATCAAATGACATTTGGGTTGCTCTTAAAAGGTAGTGCACCATTTCTTGGTACATACAGAAAACGAAAGTGGTTTCTTTCTTCATGTCCACGCTTATATTGACTACTTTCTCATGCTTTGAATCAATTACTGAAATTCGAGCTTGATTAAAAATGTGTTTTCGGATGAATAAGAATGATTGACCCTTGGAAAATGTGAGAATATCAAACTTAAAATCTCTTGCTTACAAAAGGATAGACTTGACCATTGAACCGCCCCTAAAGATTTAGAAGAAGTTGTTTCTATTCTTGTTGTATAATTCCCTTATCAAGGATGGGTCTATAAATTTAGTTTATAGGGCCAAGAAGTATATAAGAGTAGTCTTTTACAATTTTAGTAAAAATCGAAGGAGAAAAACCTATATAATTTACAGATATTCGTACAATTTTAAAACTTTAAGGGGAGATGTCAGCCCCTACCCCCTAAACCGCCAAAAAAAAGGGGAATTAATACATTTTTTCATTTTGATTAACCTAAAAAAATTTAAAAAATAATTTATATAGTTTGAAGATATTTATAGTTAATACAATATAATAAAAGA